AAAGCGAGAAAGATATTCAAATGATATACAATTTGACATGGTATTACCTTGGTCTTTACTATCGAAAGAATCTGAATGATGTTACTTTCTATGAAATTCATGCATCACTCATCCACGACCATACCTATAGACAAGTCGTCATGTTCAGTTAAGCAACAGGGAGAAAAATTTATTCACGTTTTGCTATTATGAATCATTATTAATTTAAAGTCAGTACCGCATAAACATAACACATAAACATGTGTTCGCACGCCAGATTGTGTCAGTTTATGCATAACTCTTCGAAGGCCGTATTTTCACGGCGTATTCCGTACCCTCTCACCCACCTCCTGTTCCCAGTTGCTCGTGGGCGGGGCATTCGAGCAGTTATGGTTCCATGGTGCTTCAGTACTCTCAGTGCTTGTATTTCCAACAGTATCACGGTTTTGAGTAGAACAACATCGATCCCAATTTGATTGACATAAAAGCATCAATGGCAAAGATTTTCAGAAAATGTCGCCAAAGTTTAATTCATAGCCCTTGGTTTGCGCCACTAATTGTTGTGTGGACATCTTGCACATTGAAGTAAGCATCTTATGAGTCACATGTCCTTTATCCGGGCAGCTTTGCTAGACGTTCATGATGAAGTTTTCGGGATTAACGATCAGAGTTGTTTTGATCTGGATTTCTGATTATCTCAAGGAAGGCGAAGTGAGTGGAGATTGGCAGAACACTGGCCAATGACTGTCTGACCTTTCAAGCCACAATTCTGGAAAATCCACAATAACATATTTATATTGGGAGTAGATTAGCTGAAGAAAAACGAGCGGCAAACAAAGTTAAGAGAGGCTGTGCACTGGCCTTAGCAGCAAGCACGAATTATTCGAACTCTAAAGGGTCGAGGATGTTCGCAAAAGTATAAAGCCATGGATATAGAGAGCTTGCTTTCTGAACCTCATGCTCCCTGTAGATAGGAGACAACAGCATTTAACGATGTTCAGCGTAAAAATTGCAATTGCAAAAATGAAAATTTCAAAGT